CAGGTCCGGCCCACTAGAGGCTTTCTCTACACAAACGGCGTCCCAAGTTTGGGAAACACTGTTTTAATTAATCGTATTGAAATTGTCGGTGTATGAATGTGCTGTATTACTTTGGGGATAAATTCTTCCTTGGTTTCTTGTTTCAGGTGAGCCCATCAATTTTAACGGTTGCTTCCCCAACCCTTTTCTTGTCTTCTCTTCTACACCCACAAGCCAGGAACTTCAAGCTCTGCTTGGTAGCTACCAGCTTGAATGCACAAATATTGAGGAAATCATTTAATAGTATATACATGTAATAAATAAATAAGTAAATAAAGCAAGTAAGATTCAGATCTATTAAGGATGCAACCCCTTTCTGCTTTTGTTGACTTTTTAGCAGCTTAAAAGAAAAGTCTGCATGCACATTTTTTGCAACAGCTGCAAGAAAAAGAAAAGGAGCTATTTGAGAGATCCATCCAGAAACTGGGGATAGTCTTTGCATTTACAATGGGATTCTTTTCAATGTTAGCAGCATTTTGTGTGTCAATAAGAGGCACTTAGGTGGTATGGCAGGAGAGCAAAGCAAAGGGGCGTAGGAGTAAGAATCCACCGGGTTGTCCTGAATGGTGCATGGATGCCTTAATTTAGGACTAGTTTTTAAGCATTTTCCTTTTTTGGATGAAATATTTTTTTTTGCACTCTACTTGCTTCAGTGAGACGTTAGACATTTAATTTTAAAATATTTTTACAAATCTCCCTCATTCTAACTGATCTCCCGAGACAATCTTGTACGTATGCATATTGCGTGTGTGAGGGCTTCGGGCTGCAGGAGCGAGCCTGCAGGGCTGCTGGAAGGCCTGGCAGACACAAAGACATCAATGCATCGGTTTGCACTCTGTTCACGTTTTGAAGGTTTTCTTTGCAACCATGAGGAGGACTTCCCTCCAACCTCGCCTCCGCCCCCCACTCCCCCCTCCTCGAAAATCAGATTCCAGCGCACAAGCTGGCAGCCTCTGAAAAACAAAAACACAACCCCCCCCGGCCCACTGAGCTTAGTGCAATGCAAACCAGGCCCAGTGCTATGCCTCCCAGCATGACATTGGGATGCAGCAGGAGACCAAGGCATGGGGGAGTTGCAGCCTGACGTGCATTTTGCACGGGGCAGCCCTAGAGGGGCCGGAGGGGTAGCGCGCAGCAGACCCGCGCCCTGGGGCAAGGCTGCAGCAGCGCGCGGACAACACGGGCTGCAGGGGCCGCGCGCGCCGCTGCTCTGCCTCCCCCGCCCGGGCTCCCTTCCGGACGGCGCCGGCGATCCCGCTCTCCTCTTTTTGCCTCGCGCCTGCTCCGGGCCCCCGCCGCCTCCGCAGCTGAGCGCGAGGAGCCCGGGAGCGCGTGCGCGAGCCCCCAGTGCCAGTGCAGCAGCGGCAGCAAACGGCGGCAGCGGCGGCGGCCGCCTCTTGTTTACCAGCATTCACTCTGCCCCGTGCAAGCGAGCGAGCGAGCAACGGCGCGAGGGGGAGACCTGGCAGCAGCGCGGTGCAAGCCCTGCTGCAAAGAACAGCGACAGACTTAAATCCCGAGCAGCAGCAGCGGGGCCTCCCCTTGCACCCTCCCCGCTTGGAGGCATTACGGACCCCTTTGCAACAAGCGCCTGGGCTTTGACCTTCAGCCAACCGGATCTCTCCCCCTTCCCGCTACGACCCTCCCCCTCACCCCCGCACACTCCCCCCCGGCTTGGGTGGGACGAGAAGCGGGCAGGGTTTGCAGCGCGCACGCCCCGGGTTCAGTTTTGTTTGGGTTTTTGCGCTCGCAGGGATGCGAGGAGGCGAGCAGCAGCAGCAAGAGGAGGAGGAGGAGAAGTGCTGAGCGGCTCAGCTCTCCCTGCTGCCGCTTTGTGTGTGTCCTGGATTTTTTTTTTTTAGCGGGGGGGAAGGAGCCGGTGGCAGCCGCGCTGAGACGAGGAAGAGGGGGAGGCCTTTTCATTCATTTTTATTCCGCGTTTGTAGGGTCTTCAGCCACCTGGACTTACTGGGTGTGTTTTTTTGTACTGTGGGGGAAGCTTGAAAGGGGGAATCCCTATGGAGCAGTCTCAGGTCTCTGCTTAGGGGAATAATCTCCAGTCTCGGGAAGCTGTATTTCCTCCTCTCTCATAAGATTGCTTTGGACCCCCCCCCCTTTCCCATCCATTTTTTTTTTGCGTGTGTTTGCTGCGCCTGTGTGGTGTTTGAAAATGGAGGCTGAAGATACAGACTGCCAGCCCCAATGTGCTTCATGTTTGCTACTTCTGGGCACATTGTATCACTGCAGGCAGCGCTGAGGGGGAGTGTTGCTTCGCCCTTTCTGGGGGGGCCCAGCCCACATTTTCATTGTTGTCTGTGGGTGGCTTCTCCGGAAGAACAGCAGCTAGGGAAATAAAAAACCTTTTAATTTTCAAACCCAAAGGGGTGGTTTTTGTGTGGGAGGAGGAGGTTATTTTCCCCTCCCTAGGTCTCCCCCCACCCTCCCAATTTATAGTTCTTCTGTGTGAGTGGAGGGGGAGAAATTTGGACTTCTTTTTTTTTTTTTTAGGGAAAGGGGGATTTTGTCCGTAATTTAAAAAAAAAGGAATGAAGTCTGGCGCTGGAGGAGGGTCCCTGACCTTATTCTGGGGGTTTCTGCTCTTCTTTGCCACACTTTGTCTGTGGCCAACAAATGGAGAAAGTGAGTATTTTGCGTTTCATTTAACATGGGGGGGCGTGGGGGTTACGCTTGTTTTGCACTGCGGTGACTTTTGAGTTTCAGGGGCTGCTTGTGTTTTCCTGTTCTTGAATCTGCTCCTTAAGCACATTTAATACCCTGAGTTCAGGCTGCTCTTTTCTCTCTCCTCCCTTGGAGTGGATGGCTTTGATGTTCCTGTATTTAACCAGAGTTTAGACACTTTCCCGTGTCTGAAGAGTAATAGTTCCCATTGCTTCTCTCCAGCCCCCTCATCTTTTCACCTACTGTGTTCATTTCTTAAATCCTCTCCAGATTTTCCCCTAATATTCAGATTTTAAACTCCCACGACTGTAAAGTGCCCAATAAACATCGAAAGGCCCAGGAATACTTGCTTCCAGGAGTGTTTGGAAGGAAAGAACATTGACTTTCATCGTTGGATGCCTTTTTAAAAATCAGGGTTTCATGCCCTCTAATTGAAAGGATTTCTGTGAATAGGCAGGTTGTGTGTTTTGTGTTTGTTTTGCAAAGCGTGGCATTCCCTTCTTGGGATGCACAGATGTAAAAGGACTATAGGTCAGCATACAAAGGCCACTGATTTAATATTTATTTTATATAGATCTATACAACGTGGGGGGACGGGAACGGACAAATGTATTGATCATTGGAAGGATTAGAGACTTAAAGATGAAGAAATCAATACATTAGAAGCTGTTTTTATACCTAGAACGGAAGTTCTGCGGTTGATTCTTTTAAAAGAGCACGAGTTGTTTTCTTCTCTGTGTGTGTTTAAATTCTGCGTTGTGGAAAACGTGGGTGTGGGTGTGTGTGTGTGTGTGTGTGTACACGCTGCAAATGGTTAAGTCTCCAGTGCACAACGATTGTCTGGTGTGGATTCTTGCTGCTGTTAATCTTTTCGGAATCGCAGTGTCTGTCCGTGTTGTTTGGGAGTTGCAAAAGCCCCGACTTCGTTTTTGTACATTTCAAACCTGTGATTATTTTCTCTGCCCGCCCCCTTTGGTTGCAGGGGAAAATAGAAGGGGGTGGGGATGGTGGGAGCTGAAATTGACTAGATTGCAATGATCAGCATATTAATCGGTGCGGATGGTCAATTTTCTTCTGTTTTGTTAGTTTGGATTGCTGGCCCCTAACATTACGGTTACTTTGGCCCCCGTTTTTGGCGGGGGGGAGGGGAGATTGGGGGTGTTGTTAAATTGGCCTTTTTATTTCAACCATTTTAACATTGTGCTCGATCTCCCTCTGTTTGTCTTTCAGTGTTTGTGCAGACAGGAGATCCGGTCCTTAATGCTAGATCCGTTCCTACTAGCTGAATGGTTTAACTTTTTAAAACTCCCTAACCATTGATTAGCCTCACCCGTTTTTACTTGTGAAAAGGTGTGCGGAGGAGAAAGTGCATTTCAGCCATTCAAATATGAGGAAAGAATTCCTGAAACTTAAAAAAACAAAAACATCCAGGCGCTTCTTTAAATAGTCGGTTTAAGTTGGAAAATAAGTTCTTGGATGTACCGGCAATTAAACCAGTTGTAGAAACGTTTCGGGCAAAGCTAGGGTAGATGGAATCTGTAAGGCATGTTGAGTAATATTGTATTTCGTTACAGTGAATGCCAATTAACTCTTTGAAAGTCAGGGCACAACTTGGCTTTTAACATTGTAATGGTTGGGCCCGCAAGGCTGTGAGAGTTTTTCTTTCTTGGATAAGTCAAATCTTTTAGCTAGATTTGCTTTCCAGAGAGGAGATTTAATCCTTAGGGTTGAAAACTAAAACCTCAGAGCTTGCTGTTTTTGGTTGGTGGTGGTGTGTGTTGGTAGCTAGAAGAATCAAGGTAAACGATGATTAATAATAAGTGTAAAAAAATTAAACTTTTATTCCATCAGTTTAAGAATACACTGGCCCAATGTTCTTGAATTATTTTTACCAAGTCCAGAACATCTGCAAGTAAGAATTGGTTGAGAGGAGAAACATTCTCTTAACAGAGGCAACAGCAATACATTAGATTTTATTTTTCACTCCTTTGAAATGTTTGTATTTGGGTCATCTAGCTAAAATGACTCCGTTAATAAATCTCACATGAAATACTTTTATTTTGAGGACGATCCAGGCATTTCAATATGACAAAATAAAATGAGAAGCTTGTCTTAGTTGAATACTGCCTCTAATTACGTTGACTTTGTAGTTGGCAGTTTAATAGCCTTTGTTTTCACGAGTTATTACTGAAAGAACTTTGCTGCTAGGGGAAGAATGACCCCCAGACAGATGTTTTGCATCACTTTGTATTCTTTCCTCTCCCCACAATAGAGGAAGGAGGATTGATCTTATTTTTATTTGTTTTTCATATATAATGTCATAGCTAAAAGGCACTTCCGTTTCTGGTCAAACAAGTAAGGCATGCCTAATTAGGAGTACACAGGAGGTACAACAGGAATTAAAAAAACCCTTTAATACTTAATAAATCAGTAAGAGATGAGATTTAATGACCAAAAAAAAATCTTTAAAATGCAAGTACTTTACAAGGAAAAGTTCCAATTAGCAACATGCACAGAAAAGATGTTCACAATATACCAACGTTTTGTCAAAAGAGCAAAGAAATCCATTCCTGAGATAAACTTTTCGTGCAGGTGTGATGGTTCATGTGGTATGTAAGATGGACAGGTGTTGGGGGAGACTCTTTAAATCTTGAGGCAGGTTTAAGATGCACCCTAAACTCAGAACGTCCTTTTTTTCTGCGTAAGATCACCAGTGTTGAGCATATTGAAATTTGGCTTTAGTTTCCTTACCTTAAGTATTTATGGAAGGAGAAAGCTGAAAGGGGTGCTTAAAAAATTAGACACCCAGAATAAAAATACCATTAGTATGGTACCTGTTGTAATGCTACTTTGGACCCATAGCTATGTCAATGAATCTGTTTATCTTGGCTTTGAGTATTAGCCCATACGTACAGCCTACACTTTGTTTGAAATGTTTATTAACAATAGTACATGCTGGCATCTTTAGATCCATCTTTCAGGATGCATAGTAAAAAATCCTTATGAATGTAGTCAGAGTACGTGTGTAGCATGAACATCAATATCTCCTAATATGCTTGGTGATAAGAGTTTATAGTTGAATGAGTTACATAATTCTTTGGGCAATTTAGATACTGAATATGAAATGTTTCAGTATTAAAGGAATTAATGTTAATCAGGTACACTGAAAATTGTATCTAAATATTCCTTCTCTGTTATCAATACATTATTATGATTAGAGTTCATCGGAAGAAACAGTGAGGTAATCAAGGATAACACCAACAAGTGTAAAGGCACATGTTAAATCAATTTAAAATATCAGAATCAGGACAAAGGGTTGTATGAATTACTAGCTAAAATGGTTAGGAAATGGTGGTGATTGTGTTAATATGAAGCAAAATGTGTTAAAAGGACAAAACATAGGATCTGTTATGGAATGGATGCATAGTAGCTGGTTTAATTGTAGAATTGGTATTTTGGGGGAGAAAAATGTTTTTCTTCCTGTAAAGTAAAGAAAGTCCAACCAAAGAGTTTGACTAAATAACTAATGACAAAAATATTGTTAGAAGTGGGGTAGGAGAACAACTGGTTTTAGCTTCAGTGAAACAGAAGAAATTAGTTTTTTGTTAATTGAGGAATAGTGTGGATTCTATAAACAAGTGAAAGTCGAACATGTAATTCTAATAACATTCAATCATTCTTGTTAAAATTAATGTTAGAATGTCTCTGAAATGCAAGTTAAATAATTTGTTTTTGCCTTTAATTGTCTGCACTCTAGATTTCTTTCCTTAAAGCCTATACATTTAAAGTTTTCACAAGAAGAAAAACCTGCTAGTTTTAAGTCTCTTTACACTGTTAAATGGCTAGTTTAGATAATGTACTTTACTTGGGGTGTAGTTAAATGGTTTCAAATGTGTTTTTTTTCCGCTCTACTAAATTTACATTTAAGAATATACCAATTTCTCTTCTGCTTAATAAAATCTTTGATGATTTAATGATTAAAATACAATACAATATTTTTAGGGATATAAATTATTGGGCTGAAGTTGTAATTGTGCTTTTAAAACTACATTAGCATTAATTAAGAACTTTTTTCTATCAATTTTTCATGCTTCTTCAGTAGACTTCAGTTTTACTGGTGGTCATTGAAAGTTTTCATTTGGTGAGTTGAGAGAAGACAGTTCATGGATTAAAATGATGAGTTATATTGTAGGTAGTTTATATAATTTGTGAACAGAAAAAAACTGCATAGTAACATCCCTCCTGGCCTTAAATTTTAGGAGGCACAAATACTGTGTAAAAACAAATTGTTTTTTACACTTTTTGATCACTTCATGATCTTTCATGAAACACAACTTTCTTTTAACCTGTTTAGATGGTCATGTGTGATGTATGCATCAGGGTAGTTTACAGACTAAATTGAGTAAAATGATTTAAAGCAATAAAAAAAATATCCACCAAAAGTCTGTAATAAATTTACTGAGCAAAAAATAGAAATTAGTTTGTACCTATTCCCTCTGTACCTTGTCACACAATGTTGAATTTCATCAATAAGATGTTAAAGATATTAATTTCTCTTCCTCCTGTAATATTAAGATGTCACCTAAACTGAAGAAGACTCCAAACCTTTGAAACCATCCCTTAAACGTTGGTTTATGACCTTAATAAATAATTTCCTACTTGAATTTTAGTATACCTCTCTCGTATTTGGAAAGACTTTATGGTCTTACCTAATAGCAGCTGGCTTAATGTAAACATCAGTAGTGGCAAATGCAATTTTGTATTGAAAAATGTGATGACTCTGTATCCCTAAATTTAAAAAAATGACTTGTGCTGTATTGTAGTAAGTTGTATCTCAAGTGTTTTGAGCAATGGTTAAAGTTGTTTGCAAGTGTGTGTGACTTCAGTTTATTACAGCAGTCTTTCTAACAAAGATTGGATTTACTATAAGGTTTCATAGATAATAATGAGACTTTCTGTTA